TGCTTTATGTTAAGGACGGGATAAGCAATTAATAAACTGATGGGTGGACACATACATAAGTGTGTATGTGATCAAAACTGACACTGGAGTTTGTACAAATAAAACAGGAAAAAATGTTAGCTATGTTTTTTAAAAAAATTATCATTGTCATTTATACCAAGTACTTAACATGTTTGCCTATTACAATGAGTTTCAAAAATGAATGTGAATATTTATTAAATATATATTAAACATATATCTACATACATTTTTTATTTACTTAGGTAACAGCAATACAGAATTAGAGAGCTGTAAGGCTATATAAATCACTTTGTCTTTATATCATATACCTTCAGGTTTAATAGATATGCCTTACTTATAATTTTAAAGAATTAAAGAAGATATTACTCATTCACAGGGTACTTTCAACATTAAACATCAAACTGAGCAAGACTCCAGTATTATAAACCACTGCATTCCCTTTTACTAAATGAGGGAGAACATGTGCCCAAAGTCACTCTTTCTCAAACTAAGTAAAAGCTGTTTTGAAACACATGAGGCCAGTACTCTTGTGCTTACCTATACTCAGTATAAGCACATTTTAACATATCACTCTTCATAACATATAACTCATATTCCTATTGACTCTACAAACCAATCTCAAAGATAATAAAATTAAACCATAACTCAATATAGCATATTCAGAAGTTAGATGCAAATGCAACTTATAGATGCAAAGTAATTTTCTATTAGTTTCTAATTAAAATTTCAGAAGCGATTTATCCTCATTTCTAATTATTATTCATCTGCAGTGACTTCTGACATTTTAACAGTTTTCTTATGTCTCTTGGCTGCGGGTAGGAAGTGATTTTACAAGCTCTTAAGTACATCAGAAGAGCTCTTTATTTCAAGGAATTCTTCATTGACCCTTTAACACTGCTTACAAACTTTGTATGTTTAATTTTCTGTGTAACAAATTTCTTAAAAAATAGTATAAGCTCCTAAGACACAAACCATATACCTTGTAAAAATAATGAAGCTTAAAACACACAGGGACACATTATGCCCCCACTAAAATAATATGAAACTATGAAGTCGAATACTTGAGGAAAAAGATTTTTCTTATAAATTAAAATGTTTATATCACCTTATTATATTGAAAGACTATGTTTATTTTAGATATGACAGATCAAAAGTTGTAAAGCAGCATATTCATTTTAACTTCCCTGTCTTTATAGTTTGCCATATGCATTGTAGGTGGGATGTTTCTTGTTGTTAGGAAGTCTAGCTTTGCAGACTCAACTTTCAAACAGTTTACTTCTCAAAGTGTGATCCTATACTTGTGCTTTGCTGCCCCAAGTCAAAGTAAGTTACTACACATGTATCTGGTTTTCCTATTTAATATCCTGTTTTGTTTGGAAACAAAAATCAAATACCTTAATTTGGCATTTAAATGTAACACCCCAAACCAAACTAAAACATTATAATGAAAGCTTGGATAAAGTCACCTCACTTTCTTATATGTCTTTATCTTTATCTATGAGTTTAGTCAAAATGTTAAATGCGGGTGGAATACCCTTTCTAATTTATTGTGAACTCTTTCCTATCAGGCACATTCAGGATTGGTTCCATAGTAACAGGATTTCAAATCAGTTTTAGATCAAAGCCATCCCAGGGGGAAAAAAGTCTCAATTTTCCAGCATCCCTTTTTTTTTTTTTTTCCTACAACAGACTAGCAAATTTAAGATAGGTAAGGAAACAACCTTCTTTACTGAGAACCCCCAATACACACACATAATCCTAATTATTTTTTGTAGAAATGAGATTTAGTACCATGACACCACATACCTAGCTTCCAGGGTCATAGTACTCCCTTTTAAAATTTTTACACAAGTATGGATTTAGCAAAATCCTGAAAAATTTACTAAATGCTAAGGGCAAACCAAAAGAAATTCAAATAAAACAAGCATGAAAAACTTTCAAAGGTGTTAGATTATATTAACTGTATTCAAATACAAAGTGGCTGGACCAACTTTCCAGGAATCTTGCCTGATTTTCCTCTCTTTCAGAGTCCCGTTTTATATCACAGAGCAGATATGTAGACTAAAAGGCAGGTGACCTAACTCCAATATACCACTTGCTACATGTCTTTGGATGAAAAATTACACACCTCTATTATTTTGGGGGAGGGGAAGGGTGGTACTAGGGTTTGAATTCAGGGCTTTGCACTTGCTAGGAAGACGCTCCGCCCCTTGAATCATGCCTCCAGCTCACACCTTTATTATTATCACCTAGAAAAGACAACTCAACTTGTATTTCTAATCTTAAAGTAACTGAAAGAACTTTTTATTCATTTGTAATAAATATCGCACCTAGAAGTATTTCTTTAGTATTAGTCTTCATGAAAATTCTACAAGCTCCATGATCCTTGCCTGGCCTATGGCAAATACTCAATATTTGTGAAATGAGTAATTAAATCATAGTCTAAGATATCCGTAACTGTCTCACTTAAAAAGAATAAATCTTTTCACAAGCTATAACTTTAAAAAAAACACAAATTATTTTTCAACAAATTTAAAGTTGTTTAATTACATCAGGTTTTCAAAACAATCTTAGATTTTGAACTGGGTTTAGCTTTCCAAGACTATGTACCTAATCAGCAAAATTAATACAAGAAAATACAAAAAAAATTACAAAACTAACATTTTATAGAACTTGTTCACATCAGGAGCGACTTTACCTATCTGGAAAAAAAAGTGGCCTCTGTGAAAATCTCCATAAATGTTGACAATTATTAGACTGGAACACTAAATTTTAAGTCTGTTACTTTTAAAGAGTAAATTTATGTGGACTTTATATTAATAAAAAAACTATTCTGAAGTAACTATGAACATTAATTACAAAATTGAAATCTGATACTGTTCTATTGCCTTTTTCTTTGAGCAACCATTTACAATTCTCTTAGACATAGTTTTCTCTGAGTCTTTTAATTGTCATCTTTTTCTGGATCCCATCAAAACTATTCATCACTTTTTTAAACTGATCAATTATAGACAGTACAAAAAGAAAATAAGCATCTATTTAAAAGGTTCCCTAATGTCTTAATAAAAATACAGATACAGTTTACCTCATAAACTTAAGAGTTTTTTTTTTAAAAAAACTTTATTGCATAATAATTCATTCTTTGAAGCTTGGAATCACTGTTCACAGAAACAAATATTAAGAACGATGTTTCATTTACTAGGATAGCTCAAAAAAGCACTTTGAATTCATGACATATAGTACTAGTAACATGAGCGATAAGAAAGTCTTTTTGACCTAGTTCATCAAAGAGAGAGAAAGGGCCATGTAATATCTTGAAAATATATATTTAATCTGTAAATATCATAAGTAGGCTAATATTTGACTTTAATTATTCTAATCTCATTTAAAATAAGTTTATCTAATCTTTAAGTGAATCTACCTTAAGTAAAATGACACATCAATATAAAGCAATGAAATATTTCAATAACATTTATTTTCTTAACTAATAAGTTTATTTGAATTCGCAATAAGGAGTAGGGATAGCGTCACTCAACATACTGGCACATGGAATGGTTTGGATTCTAATTTTTAATTTTTCCACTAAATTTTCCATTGTCACACTTTAAAAGGTCCTAAACTTACTGTACGTAGATTTCTTTATGATAAAGAATGGAGAGAATTTCCCACTATTTCACTCAACAATAAGATTAAATAAAAATATAAGAAATTTGGCAAATATAAAATGTAATGTAAAACTCAGACATACTTTTCAAAAAACTACAAATTAGGTTTATTTTGTTTTATTTTACCAAATATGACATACCAAGTTAGTCCTTATTTTCTTTCCAATATACAGACAATACATAGAACCAATGTAATAGTTAACAGTTTTATGTCACTTAGAATGTACCAGGCAATTTTAAAGCCATTATATATGTCTAAACTCATTAAATAACCCTGAGCTGGCACAATTATTAATGGGACTGAGGCACAGAATATCACATAGCTAGTAAGTAGTAGAGGAGGGATTTGAATCCAAACAGTCTAACTCTCAAGGCCATAATCTTAACATTTTAAATTACCTATTTAATATGAGGAAATAAAGAGAAGGAAAGAAAACATATTCGCATATTTGTTCACTTATTGATAATAATCACAAAAAGCAATGATATAAACTCTGAATACATATATGAACCAAATATGATCATTTATTCTTATTTATCATTTATTCCAATTTCTCTTACAATCTGAGTTCTAATATTTTTTCATGTACATTTATTTATGTATTTATTTATTTTGGTGTGACCGGGGTTTGAACTCAGGGCTTCACATTTGCCAAGCATGCTATCACTTAAGTCATATTTATACATTTTATTAGCAAAATGGAGGATTGCATAAAGATGATTTGATACGTTCTCAGCTGTTGGAATTTAGGAAAACTTTCAAATACCTTTAAAATTAACAATACTATTTTTAATGGGGAATAAAAATTTCTTAATGCAAATATAATTTCATAAAGTTTCTAAAACACGGTTGTTAATAAAATTAGAAACAGAGAAAGGAAAAAGGAAACCAGTTCTTAGTGAAAGTCAAAAATATGCTAAGCCTTCATGTGCATATTAAAGTTTAACAGTCAAAACAACTGTGAGAAATACATCACTATGCTAACTTTACTGATAAACTAAAGTTCAGAACCACAGCAACTTTTCAAATATTGTATATTACAGTATTCAGTAGATGGAGCCAGTATGTAAACCAAAAAATGTCTCTGAATGCTATTAAGGTTGTTGCCTTATAATTAAAAAAAAAGTAATTGCTGATTATCTGAGAATATTGTGGTTAGAAGAGTGTAGAAACATATTGAGACGTTCAGATAAACTTTATGTTCTTTATTTCCCAACACTATAAGGATGCAAGAAAAGAAAATATTTATCTCACTTTTACATTCTTTAGTTTTCAGATAAATATTTATAAGCAATAAAATAATATGAAGAAATACTTCCTGAAATGTGTTCTTCAGAATTTTTTTGATTCTTAAAAGAATTAAATATGATTGTAGCTATAAAATGCTTAGCACAGTGAATGGCACACAGTTAAGTACTTAATAAGCATTACTGACTCCTACTGGGAATTCAGAACAATTCCTACTTAGATACTCTCTTGAAGGATACTACAATAAAAAACATCCTACCCACCATTCTTTAATTATAATCATCGATTCGAATCCTTATTTGATGAAGGAACCTTATGGAGGGGAGGAGTAATCATACCTATTCAGTTATTATAGCAATGGCGTCCCTTGGAATATGTTTTGCTAGAAAATCAGTAAGAAGCTATAAAATAGAAGGAATGAATCAATTCCTAATAATGCACAAGTGAATCTTCAATTCTATTTAGGAGGTACACTGACCCTTCAGCATTATAAATTCAATAAACTTTCTTTCCAAACATAATATGAAGCTTTTCAAATACATACAGATGGTTTTAAGAATCAGTGGTCTGCTAGATACTGCATGAAAAATAAATGCTACTTATTTCTCTCGGTTAGAATGCTCTTTAAGTAGATAAACAAATGAGATATTAAAATGTTTTTAAAAGCATGGTCTTCCATACCTGAGAAATGCCAGAAAGTTAACTTCAAGATTACTTGATGAAAGATGTTAAATCTTCACAGCGATGCACTGGAAGAATTCATCAATAGCAATGTTATGCGTCCTGCTAGTCAATGAATGCTTGCATGTATTTTTCCTCTCCTTTACAATTCAATACATCTTTGTGATGTTTACTTATAACAAAAGTGATTTCATCCATTTATTATTTTTGTAATGTTCTTAACATTCTGGTCATTTCCTGAACCTCTGTACACTGAATTGTTAATTACTTAACACAGGTAGAAACTGTGTCCAAAGAGGCTTAAAATTTAAGATCAACATGAAATGAAGATAATTCATTGATAATGATATAAATTAAATTGAAAATAAGATAAGAATTACATTTCTGCAAGTCCATTTTTAAAAAGTACTACTCCCAGGGAGATACACCAATATATTCAAGGCTAACATCATGGCCTGAGATGTTTAATACAACCTAGTAACTTATAACTACTCCTGAGTGTATGAATTACTTTAAACATAACCAAAATAGTTGACTTTTATATTGCCGTTGCATTGTAACTCCATATTTCCTACCAATACATAAAAGATTTTGTAAAATGTTTATATTTCAACAATTGGCATATATATGCACTAGATGTATGAATTGTACTTTTTTGTTTACTTTACCTCTACCCTGATTTATTTCAAATATTAGGCTGTCTATCCAGTTGACAGGACAGTTGAGGATCTTAAATTGTCTAACATGATCATGGCCCTTACTATCCTTTGTTAACTTCTATGCTAAACCAGCATAGTACATTGGAAGATGACTTTTTCTTTTTCTTCATTATTTACAGCTTAAGTTAATCACAACCATAGTACTCTATGTTGAATACAAATAGATACAATTTTAATCCCTCTTCTTTTCTAACTTCTGCCTGGTTATATTTAGGACATTATGTTATGTTCACTAGTTTCAAATGTTATCTGTGTTAAAAAGGATTTTATGAGACTTAACACTGTAACCATGATTCTATGGAAAAGTATTATAGTTTTAAACCAAAATAAAAATGATCTTTTCTATAATATTGTTTTTCCTGCTTATCATAAAGAATATTAGTCTAAGTTTAAATATTAAACCTAAGACAAAGAAATGCTTTGCCTAAAATGTCCCACAGTTTGGTTGCTAACTCCTTAGCAGCACCTTTTATTAGGCACTCTTTCTTACTCTAAGCTTGTGCCACACTGACCTTGGCTTAATGTTAGGTACTATGCTCCCTCCCTGCTCAGGACCTTTGTACAAAATGTTCCTTCTTTCCAGGAAGTTCTTTTCTCTACCTTGATCAAATTAACCCTTACTCTGTGAGATAACAGCTAAGTAAAGACTTCCTTAGAAAGGTTTCCCATGAGCCCACTGATTGGCCAAATTTTCTTTCTAAATGCACCAGATATTAAATATCATGTACCCCTCTACAACAGTTGAAATGTTCCAATTTTGCATCCATTTGCATGATTATTTGATAAAGGTCCTTCTCTATCTGTAAGGTATATGTTCCAGAATAACCCTTTTTATTTTTGCACACTATCCCAGTGAGAATATAATAGTTATCAAGATAAATTTGGTGAAGATGCTGCCAAACCATTTGTAAAGAGACAAAAAAAAAAAAAGAGTTAATGACAACTACATAGATTTACGTGAAAAGTCACTATTCATCTGTAAACAAGCTACAGACCCATATTTGACAGAGCTGTTTAATTCGTGCTATTTTCTGAAGGAAAAACTAAGAGTTCAATTACTGGTGGTCAGGGTAAGATGCCATGGTAATTTGCATGATAGGCTACTTGGAAAAAAATCCAATGCAAACAAAATTTATAAAGTAAATGGAGAAAACACAAGTTCTATCCTATAGCTTTTAACCTTTGTTTATATGTAAAACGTATAGTTTTAATTGTGTACCAATCGAAACTTCATCCTGGGTATGAATTTTAATTATGAAAGAAAAAAGCCTACAGATTTAGTATTCTTACCCAATGCTTTAGTGCTTCATTCCCAACTCATATCTAAATATGACTTCAGACTCCAACCAACTTTCTAGATGTAACTGCAAAGAGGTACACGTTGTCTTAATTTTTGGGCAATATATTTTCTCCCATTTTTCTGCTTTTTTCCTGACCTATATTCCAGGAAATAAAAATTTAAAAATATAAATTTAAAAGTATATTACTTCTAACCATCTCCCTAATTTACCACATTATTCTTAACTTTAGTATTAGATTTTAAAATAGTAAAAATAACTTCACAATCTCCTAATCCCATTGGAAGCTTTTATCTTTACCCAAATTAACCTCTTCTGTGACAATTTACCTAAACCTGACTAACTCATCTCTTTCCCCAAAGCACATGGTGATTAACTCCAGAATTCTAATAGCTTCTTTAGTAAGCATGTTTACACATTCAGTTTGATGTTACTTTTTAGTGATTTTTAAAAATTTTTTGTTTTATTGATTTTACATTTACTCACATGTATACATTGTTTGGGCTGCCTCCCATTTTACAAACATTTTTAAACTACTTTTCATGTATGTTTCAGTCATCTAAAAAAAAGTTTTATTTTTATTCCTACACAAACCAGTACCCAAATATAGAAAATATTACAGAAATATTAAAAGACTTAGCCATCTGTAGCTTTGAGTGATCATACAATAATTAGTATCACTGATTAGAATAACATTTTAATTTCAGGCCTATATATCACAGACTTTATAACTGATATCCTTTACCAAAACTAGGAGCCTAAAGCAGATTTTCCATAAGAAGGAAAATATTTAGAAATCAAGATAGATTATCTTTTGTTCCTTTTTCATTTAACTAGATTTTTCACTCTAACATTAGATCATTTGAACAGACTTTATTCTGTATTAAACTATGATGATTTTTAGGAAGTACTAAATTTTCTTCAAGATATTTAACAGATATATTCATGTGACTGTTTGACTAGGACTATAATTTTCCTGGGTCATTTTTTCTTATTTCTTTAATACCTAAAATATATTTTTCATTACAAAATTACTACAAGAATATAAGCTTATTGTTGCAAATAGATCCAAGTAATAGTGAAGCATACATAACATTGAGTTCTTTATCACTTATAGCATTCCAGATACATATTTTCTATACACAAAAGATAAAACTTGTACATATCTTTTGGAACTTTTCTTACTATATTTATGTATTTGTGACACAAACTTTATGCATTTATGACATAAACTGCATACATATATATATATATATATATATATATATATATATATATATATATATATATATATATATCTACGCAAACTTCTTATACATTTCAAACATGATATCCTATACATGAATTTTTAAATTTTTTTGAGGTACTGGGGTTTGAACTCAGGGACTTGCACATGCTAGACAAGCATTGTACCACTTGAGCCACACCCTCAGTCCCTGTGCATTTAATTTTACATAAATGGGAACAGTTTGTGCATATTATTTGACTTGCTTTTCAACCTAGGTTATCTTAGAAATCTATCCACATATTTAACCTACAAATATAAATTTTGCATAGCTGTTTTTAACTTTGTGTGTGTGGTGGGACTGGGGTTTGAACTCAGAACTTCACACTTGCAAAACAGATACTTTACCACTTGAGCCACACCTCCAGTCCATTTTGCTCTGGTTTTTTTGGACATGGGGTCTCAAGAACTATTTGAACTCCAACCCTCCTGATATCAGTCTTTCAAGTAGCCAGGATTATAGGTGTGAACCAATAGTATGCAGTTTAATTCTTATCTTCAGATACTACTGATGATGTTTCCTAGCTTACTATCTTACACAGAAATTTTATTGTTTATCAAAAATAAATGGACTGTTTCTTTTAGTGTCTAAGAAAGTGAGTCATATGTCTTCCCACTGTAATATTTCTTAATTGAAATATTTCACCAGCAATTCATTCAATATTTCTCATCTTTCCTAAATGATGTATGTTTATTCCTGTCATAAATTTATACTTCAATAAAAAATACATGCTTATACATAAAGAACATTAGGCCAGCTGTATTGATGGATGTCTATAATCAAAGCTACATAGTAGGTAGATACGGGAGGATTGTGGTTCAAGGCCAACTCAGGCAAAAATAAGAGCTTATGTGAAAAATAAAAGCAAAAGCAAAAAGGGCTGGGGGTGTGGCTCAAGGGGTAGAGTGCTTGCCTAGCAAGTTTCAGGCCTTAGTTCAAACTCCAGTATCACACCCTACATTTAGTGAACCAAAGTCAATTTTTTTAAATTAGCTTTATGAAAAATAAAAAAAGCAATGCATATTTCAAATTTGCCTTCTAATCAGAAAAATTAAACATAGAATTTAAGTAATTTTCTGACTGGCCTAGGTAAGCTGTACAAAAACAGAGAAATTGCTTAAAAAATATTCTTAAAGAATTCTAAAAAGAAAAAAAAGTTAGAAGTTTACCAACATATTTAAAACAGAGAAACCCCAAATAGTTAAGAGCAGTGGTCCAGAAAAGCAATATAAAATTAAATGAGTATCTGCTTTATGTGGGCTCAGACTCCTTTCATACATATAAGAACACTGGAGTAATGTGACTGCTAGTTTTATTTTCTAATAGGCAACATATTGCTATTCTTCCAGATTAAAAAGGAACTGAAGTCAACTGAATAACAAAGTAATATCTACCATTCTAAACTGGACCACTTAAATAAGCAGTAATGTGGGTCAAGCAGGCATGAAGTCCTGCGTTAAAACCCCAGTCCCACCAAACAAACAAAAAATAATAATAATTATAATAGTAATAATAATATAAATGATTAGGCTTTATTATCAAAAGTAGTTGGTAAAAGGAAAATATTGTATTACAGTAGAAAATAAATTTCACTTTATACTTCTATGAAAGAATTAAATTTAAAACTTAAAATAAAAGAATATTCCTAAGGAGTGGTATGAATTAGGAGAGTCTAGGGTCACACAAAACCACTATCTTTGTTACTAGTGATATTTCTAGCTTTGTGAAAACTGAACACTGTAGCTTTAATTGAAGTTTGAATGTTATAAACAGTTAGATGTCTGGCTCTGGCCTGCATTCTAATACCATCAGCAAAACAGAGATGGGAAGCATAAACAAACCTTTTAACTAGATTATAGTCTCTAAAATGGCCAAGAAATCCTTCAGCACGAACTCCAGTGTGATAAATGTGAAAGACAAGAAAATGATTTTGGAGTAATACTTTAAAAAGCCTCTAAATTTCTGTCATTACAGGAACATATTTGATTTTCTAAATATTTTTATGTTGTTCAATATTTATCAATGAAATAAACTTTACGCTTAACTTCCCAAATAAACAAAAGTCCAGTATTTTTCATAGCAGTTGGTTTTTAGGTCACTACATCCCAAGTAAGGAAACTTACTTTAAAACTCAGTATCTATTTAAAACTCAATAATTTCCTCTTTTTGAATGTGGAAAACTTCTCTTCCCCAACATCAGTCAGTAATATGGTCTGAATTATCATTTTTAGGTACTTTTAATATCAGGAATGTTGGAGTAAGTTAACTAATAGCTAAGAGATTAGTAGATATTTCTGGACTGAAGGTGTATAAAAAACTATAGCAGTGACCACACAGATAATCCTAAATATAATTCAGCACTCAATCTTGGAAACATTTTTATGTGTACTTCTAACTCCTAGATATAGACATTCAGTTTAAAAATATAAAAGGCAGCACAAGAATGTAAGTTTAATATTAGCATCAGAAAAATGTCCTCATTGCTTGCAAAAGAACTAAGCATCAATGCACAAAATTTTTACCACTGCAAAGCTGGTGACTAATTTCCATAATTCATTTTAGTCCTTTAAAACAATATTCAGCTTATGTATTCAATGATACAGAATTTAATTCTAAATTTCCAAAGAAAAGGTTATATAGGTCAACTAAAATGATTCAAATCAAAATTTGTCACATCCAACTTTGAATAAAGTATAAGCTTTACACTAAGTTTTCCCTTCTGAACTGTAATAGATGATTCAGAGTACTTCTTTAGCATTTAAAAATGTTTCTAAACTTTGCAGGCCATTATGCATTGGCCTGTCACAGGATAATAGTCACAAAAGCATATGGTATGAATTTGAATTTACTTAGAATGGACATAAAAGTTACTTAAAAAGTAGAAAAACTGTTTCAACTGCTTATTTTTCCTAAAAGCAAAAGATGTAAAAATCAACTCTGCTTAGTTGAATCAAAAAGTATTTTAATTGAGGAGTTGTTTTAAAGAAAAACCATGTGTTGACATTCGAGAAATCAGAAGATGTTCATTCTTATACTAAAACTATTTTTGACCTTAACAAATACAAAAAAGAATATATTAAACTTAATTCTCTCAATGTCATGCAATTATGAAAATGTTGTATAATAGAGCCTAGAAGGTAATGCGTATATACACACCAAAGCACTAGACAATGTAAACGCTCCTTTATTTAGAGGATTTCACTATCAACACAGTTATACAGAAATGTTGTAGGAAGATAGTGGACTGAGGCAGGCCTGTGGAAAAGTGTGAGATCACATCTGAAAAAACCAAACTAAAAGTAAAACAAGGACTAGGGGCATGGCTCAAATGGTAGAATGCTTGCCTAGTAAGCTCAAGGCCCTAAAATCAATCCCTGGTACCACCAAAAAAGTAAATTAATAAAGCCTAAATGTCATTTTTATTATATAAAGAGAAGATTGACTTTATGTATATTTTATCTTAAGTTGCACATTGGTCTGCATCTATGTTTGTTCTAAAAGACAGAGGAATTTTTTTTGTTTGTTGTTCTATACTGGTATTCTTTCAGAAATTTTTCATCAGTAAGTTATCAGGGCCATGATTTTACTAACGCTTTCCAGAGTACAGACTGACAATTCTTTACTGTGACTGTGTTTTGAATTAGAAAGTGTCATAAATCTAATGTGATTGAGTAGTTTGTTATTGAATAATGATAAAATGCTGCTTGGTTAGTAAGTGGTATCCTCATTTGTAATATGGATACAGTAATCCAGCGTTTACAGGGACCACTATAAGGACTGAGAAAAACTGACATATTCATCACAGTGGTGCACACTTAGAATAAAAGGTAACTGTGATAATTACTGAAATAGACGTTTAAGAATGAATGTGAAAGAGAACAAAATTTACCACCAAGGAGTCTAAAATTTATCTTCCCAAGATACTGTATGCCAGCAGAGGCATGCCCTCTGTGTTTTCAATTGTGAACCATCATTATTGTAAAACATACATGTTAAGGTGGGTAAAGTGAATGAATTACTTTTTCTAACATACTTCTTGATTACATATGAAAATTGTGACAGGAATTGAGATAATAAGCTTTGTTTTTGTAATACCCATCTAAGAAACTTTGATTTTACCAGAGCTATAGGAACAATATTTCAGAATCAAGATTAAACACTTCCAACTGGAACTAAAACTGGGAAGTTTCTTACGAGGATCTTGGAATAATATCTCTAGTACATATACAAAAAAATTCCAAAACTCATTTAAAAAGTATATACTAATTACTGGATAATTACATCATACTGCTAGATTTTGCTTGAGATATGGTAGAAAATAGCTAAAAATTCAAAATGAAAATGTATAATGCCTTCCAATAAACCGTCAAAGATAACCTGTTATATAAGATGTAAACATAAAAAAGTTATTTAAAGAAAAAAATTAAGTTTGGAGAATCTGGATTTTTTGGAAAAAATTTAATGAACAGTGTTGGTTGGTCATCTTAAAATTTAAAAAATTATGGTTAGCAATAAAAATTCAGCAATGGTAGCCACATAGAATACAGTATTAAGTGAAAATTTTTTCTTAATATTTTACTATTTTAATAAAATACAGCAATATCTAAAACATTTCCTTTCCTTCTAGCAGTATCCATTTAGGTAATATAAAATTTATTTAGGTAAACAAAATAAAGATATGAGTAATACACTTGTGAAATACAATTAAAAAATTTCTTCACATGAAATTGCAGGGACCATCCTTGTTTTTCAAATGCCTAGCACAGTGCCTGACAAACAGAAGATGCTCCAGAATTTAATAAATAGCTAAGTACAATCTGTTTTGCACATACATTCAAAATCCAGACAAATTTACAAAGGTACATAAGTTGGATATAGGCTTTCTGGCTGACTTCATGGGGTCCCACTGATGACTAGGAGTAAATCTTCATATCCATAGAAAACTGGAAAGCTGATAATTGTCTGGGTAAGGACCAAAAAAACAAAGTCAGGGAAACATGTCACCTAAGTAACAGTTGTTCTATAGAGTTGGCAAAAGCGGCCTAATTATTCCAACATTCTATTGTTCATTTGCTCAATGAAATGAAATTGAAGTGCATCCTTAATTTTTAAGTGAAAATTCTTATCATTGCTTATTCAAAATAAATCACATTTGTCAAGTCCCATTCTGTATAAGGATTAAAAGGGAGTAGGGTTTTACTTAGTATGAGTACTACGTTGTTAATTGTATTTAATTCGGCTATTAATTAGAAAAAAGTGAGAGCCACAGTAGAGATAAAGAAAAAACTTCTCAAGAAAAAAATTTTCATAGTGAGAATTATAGAAAGGAAGAAGGGAAAGGAGGAGAGGAAAGAATCTAACATTCCTTGAACAGAGAAATTCAAACCTGTATATAACTCTAAAACTGATGTGGATTATGACAAACTACCAGTAGGCCCTGCTGTATACTAGGTATTATGTGGACAAAAATCATTGTCCTTAAGTAATTGTTCATTAAGACAAGATTTACAAGTAAACATTTATAACACAAAATGAATTATATTTATTTTATAAATATGAGTCCTTAATACTGGAGTAAGAAATATATTTACTGATTACTTGGAGGTTCAGGGGCAGTGGGGCATTAAAGAAACCTGAAATGATTCTCACAATAGAAATAAAAACTGAAATTCACCAGTGAAATCAGTACTTATTTAAAAGATCAACAACAAATCATTGAATTATAAATGGACAAAATTACAGCTCTAAAGCTATGTACCTTAACATTCTTAAAAAATATGCCTCCATATAAAACTCTTAAGTGCTATACACAGAACTGAGCATGACAGTTTCATTTCAGATAATAGACCTGAGTTCTCTCATCCCTGAGCTGCTCACAGGCTTTGGAATCTTGGTCAAGTTCCTTAAGCTCTGTGAATGAACTTCAGAAGTATGGAAAATGAAGAGTACAAAGCGGACCACCAAGATATCTTCCAGTTGAAAAATTACCATCCTAAAATATCAATAGGTCTTAATGCTTAAAAAATAAGCCCTAATAAACATACAATAAAATGTTTTCTAAGCATAAACCATTACTCAACTTTTAGAAAGTCTGGAATCTTCCAACCATAAAGAGTTACCCTGGGGGTGGTAGGAAAGGAATGCTTTCAAAGGAAAACACAAAGTAAAGGTATTAAAAATCAAGACTATAAATTTTTACTCAGCTGCCTACTAGGCAACTAGTATCCCAATTTTCTATACAATTCGTTTTCAAAAAATTGATTTCTTCACTAAGTTTTATTTTGTCTCTCTTACATTAAGGTTGCTGAGGTTTTAATGTGAGGACAATCTTAGGTGAACTTGGAAGAGTAGTATTGACGTTGGGAGAAAAACTTAAACTTAGCACAGATTTCTGCTTTAGTGCACCAATTACGACTTAGAGGAAGGTAAGAAACTTGAAATTTATAAAAAGAAATGAGAGAAATAAGACCATATTGTTTACTGCTACACAGTTTTTTTCCCTATGTGTAAATGTCTACTTTTGCACACAGTTGGTAATTAAAATTTTACAGGACAAGTTTTTGCATATGTAATGCTTTTCAGTAACTAAAATATGAGTATATTATGTCTTGGGTTTATCATCAAGAAAATAAAAAGTAAAAGTTATCATGTCTTTTATAATATTTATGTCAAATATCCTTCTATAGTTGTGTTTCTTCTATCCCCTCTAGTTGATCAAATTGCCGTTTTTACAATGCCAGTCTGATCACAAAATTGCTGCTTTACAGAAGAATATTTTTTGCTGACATAAATTATGGGATCAGAGACACCAATGAAGTCACAAAAAAAAAAAGTGTGTAGAAGAAAGAGAGAGAGAATGAATGTGCGTATGTCTTCAAGAAAACAATGAAGAAATGTACATATGAAACAAAGTACCATTTCCCAATGTCAGTCCTAAGTAAAAGGCCTACATCAGAAACATATTTTCTAGTACTGGGGAAATAAAATACAGCATTGAATTTAAGCTATTCACCAAGAACATACAATGTAAAAATGGAGAATAGTGATTTTTATCAGGATTGTTATTGTACAAAACCCAAATTTATCTTTCCATTTGTTTCTACTACAATTAATATACTGACTACAACTTCATAATTTGACTCATAAAAACATATTTTAGAAATTTGTCTCCTTTTGCATATAAGTAAGTGAGCAATTTGGTACAGTACCCTCAAAGACGAAAAACTCATCTCAATTTACAACAGTAAATAAATAATTCAGTTAAAACTGAAAGTGGTACCAATTCAGCAAACTATTGATGGAGAGGCTTGGCCTTCCATGCAGCCAGAGAACATAAAGTTTTCAATGGGGACTACTTGTTCATACAAGTTACAAAATTAGAAAAATACCCAGCTAATTATGAAACAACTAATATTCTCACCTTATGGAAAATAAATACCACGAATGTACGTGGGAAAACACAATAGCACTGGCATTTAAACTTTGAGCATTTTGAGCTTTAAACTTTATATACTCATACATGAAACAAATATTTAAAATAAAAGCAAAACTTAACCAAAGGCCTCTATCAATTAAAATTTGAAATTTGCTATGCAATTCAGACAAGAAGAAAAATGGAGAAATTAATCCTTTAACGCAAAAACCAGTCAAGTCTTCCAACCCTAAACTCAATATCCAAACCACAAACAGGAGCAAAAAGGGTGAAACACTCAGGTCTACAAATGGATAAGCAGTTCCACTACAATCCAGATCCCGACATTTTCCTACTCAGAAACAAATGCAGTAGAGCTTTTCCTGGGGATACAGAAAAAAAGCTCTCCAAATGAAAAATTTTTAGTGACAACTAGAAAGTGTGTCTCTTTCTGTCTCTTTCCCTGGCGCCTCATTGGAGGAAGGAGGGGGTTGTTTTTGTATTCTCCCCCACTGGAGCAAGGCACAATCAGATGTTAGCTGGAGGAGAGAAACCACTTTTGACAACAGCAAATGAAAATAAAAGTGCCCTTCCTCCCCTGACAGGATGGACACCCCAGCTCACACATCCTTCCCCACTCCAACCCCTCCCTCCCCCCCAGCACCACCCCCTCCTCACCCCGGAGCTCCACTGCGTATGAGGTTTGGTGCTACTGTTGCCCCGGAGTGAAAGTCAGAGCCAGAGGAAGGCAATGAAGCCCCCACAGACACACTTACCTTTCCTGCCCCCCACTTTTGAGTGCCTTCCCTGGAGCTGTGGAGGATGACACAAAGGGTAATAAAGGGGGGAGTGGAGGAGGAGGAGGCGAAGGAGGAGGAGGAGAGCTGGGGAAGTGGCTGCTCCTGGGTGTAGTGAGATGTCTCCAGCCAGGGCCAAGCAGCAGCAGCAACAGCAGCAGCAGCAGCAGCAGCAACAGCAGCAGCAGCAAAGGGTCTGTGTTGCTAAGAGGCTTTTGGTCTCTTTCTCTCCTCCTCTCACGGCCAAAGAGAAGGAGGGTGGAGGGGGCTCCGGAGGGAGGCGAGTGGAGGGGTGAGGGGGTAGGAGTCGTGGATGGGGGTTTTCGAAGAAGAAGAAACTCCTTCTCTCTCAGGCTCAATCTCCCTCTCAGAGCTCGGAGCTGGAGGGTGGGGGAAGGAACTCAGCCGCCTTTCCCCCCACCCCCTCAATTCAAGGTTGAAGTGGGGTAAAATTAGTGTCCTGTCCCTTTAAAAATAGAAATAAAAGGTGCCCCCCCTCTGCCACTGCCTCTCTCTTCATCATCAGCTGCTGCTGCTGCTGGGGTCTCTCTGCTTGGGGGGGAGGGGGGGTTCGGGTAGAAGAGACAGGAGGCACTCACTGCGCATGTCCCTCTCTGACGGGAGGCTGGTTGGTTGAAGGCAGGAGGAGGGGGAGGGGAGGAAATGAGATGTTTTCCCAGAAGGCGCTGAGGCGTTCGCGACCCGGAAGACATTGTAGCAGGGGGTAAGAGGGGCGGGGGCGAGTAGAGAAGGAAGTCCCTACTCTTCTAACACCCCCAACTCCCTCCTCCCTCCTGAAGGAAAGTGGAGGAACGGAAGTGGGCGGGGAAAGACGATCACGTGTTGTGGGGGAGGGGACGGGGTGGGAGAGGCGGTGCGTGCGCGGGGTATGCCGGGAGGGGTTGTGTAAGGTGGCAGCAGCAGGTGAAGCTGAGAGGAGGACAGTGCGAGGCGGTCTTGTGAAGCGGTTTTCGCGCTCTCTGCATTCAGTCTTTGTTCTGGTAAAGGCAGAGGTGATAAGGGTTTGTCTGGCTTCACAATGAAGGTCAGGACGCCAGCGGCCAAAGGGGGATTGAAAGTGGGAGAATAGAAGGCTGTGCAGACTGGGGATGTGGGTAGGACCAGGCTTGTCTAGACCGGACAGGCCGACACCAGGCGGGCCCTCTCGGTCTCGGAGCGTCCCTGTGGGTTTGTGGACTACTGACTTCCTGATGGCTCCAGCGAGTGCTAGGAGGCCAGCTTTCCAGGGGGACTGTGGATGGGGTACTTGATGGGTAGAATGTTAAAGAGAAATGGGATCTGAGGAGCCTCAGCAGGTGACTAGTGACTGCTTCCTCTCCCTCCAAGCAGGCCACCTATCCGGGAAAGAGAAGTTCGGTGTGTGCATTTTGACAGCTTCATGGGAAGCACTGCTTATATAGGGCACTATAAGCCCTCCGTCACTTACCTTGCAACCTTCTCTGGGATTCTCGAGAGGCTCAGGGCAGGCAGGGAAAGCTTGAGTGGAATTTCCCTCCGTGCCTTGCGTGGTTGCAGCATTGCTCTTTTTGCCTAGGATTGCTTTATGTCTGTGTTGCTGTATTAATTTTACATTTTTTTCTAACTCTGTGAAGAATGTTCTTGGGCTTTTGATGGGGATTGCATTAAATCTGTAATTTTTTTTTGGTAATGTAGCCATTTTCACAATGTTCTGCACAATATTCATGAACATGGGACGTCTTTCTATCTTCTAGTGTCTTCTTCAATTCCCCTTTTTCAGTGTTTTATAGTTTTCTTTGTAATGGTTTTCCACATCCTTGTTAGATTTATTCTTAGAGTTTATTTTTAAGGTTATTGCGAATAGGATTTTTTAAAATTATTTTCTCAGCATGTTATCTATTGGTATATAGAAAAGCTACTGAAATTTCAGTATTGATTTTGGATCCTGCAACTTTGCCAAAAGTGTTTTTATTAGATGTAAGAGTTTTCTAGTGTAGGAGTCTTTAGGGTCTTTTAGTATAAGAGCATACCATCTGAAAGTAGGGACAATTTGACTTCTTTCCTATTTGTATATTTTTTATTTCTTTCTTTCACCTTATTGCTCTGCCTGTTTAAACACTATGTGGAATAACAGTGGAGACAGTGAAAATGTTTGTTTTGTTCCTGATTTAAGAGAAAATGCTTTCAGATTTTCTCCATT